ACATGTGCATTTGTCTGTTTGGCTTGTACATCATTCGATACTATATCAGGTATCCATCAGGGAAAAGTGTGGTCTCCATCTAGCGAGGACGATCCTCATGGTTGATGATTATATTGTCGAAGAGTGAGATCTGAATGTCTCTTCCAATAACCATTCTAGTTCGAATAACTTAATTACACTACGTTTCCTAATTACACTGTTACTGCAGAAGCAAGGATTACACTTGTGATGAGTGAAAACTTCATTCTAAACTCTCTCAAATTTCCACTGCGGTAGATAACAAAGCAAAACAAACGCAATCAAGAAATTATTGGCTTGGAAAGACAGAAATGTCGCTGCTTTTATCCTCTCCCCCTTGTAGTAATGAACGTAAATTATATGTAACAAAAAACTTGTCTACTCTTGCGAGTCTCATGGATAGCACGATGTTAGAGTGTAATTTTTTATGAAAATAACAAAATTCTCCTCAAGGATTGTAACACTCCTGCTCAGAATGAAGAGACCGACTACTTATACTAATAGTCACCTTGCAAAATTGTTTTGACGACAGTTTCCACTCGTTTTTGTAAACGTGACAAACTCTCTCTCTCTCTCTCTCACACTCTCTCTGTCGACCAAATTTCAACGATAGGGACATGCTTTCTTATATACAAAAGGAAGAAAATTACGTTCGGTCGTGACCGACTGTTATCCCATAAAAGACCAGAAAGAAAGAGAAGACCTAAATTTTCGTACTCTATAGCAAAAGAATATTGAGTGGGCGCGGTTGAGTTTTCCTACTTTCCGAGCAAAAGGGGAATATACTATATGCGTTGTATTTTAAGAGTAATGAGCAAAAAGTCAAAGGTAGTCAGAATTTTTGTTGCATAGGCGTGCAGGTATTGTAGGCGTGTCCTTTGACCGGTTCGAGTCATTTTCAGATCCTTAACAAGCTTTTGCAAGACGGGAGAATATTTACACACAGATAGTACACAGTTGGGCAGACGCACAGATGTACAAACGAGCACACGGACACGCTTAGGTGTACTTCGGATTTGAAACAGATCAAGAATTTGAATACTTTATAGGGTTTATAAAGCTTGCTTTTACGCGGACTTTAGACAGACGGAACAGGTGGAAATGCTTAAATCGATTCGATTTGATGCTGATTATATACTGTGTGAGGTCTGTGAAGCTTCATTTAGGGCGTTGCAAACGTTTTGACAAACTGATAATACCCCTGACCCTTCGGTGATGGATATAACGACTAAGGAAAATTTTTGCTGCTGTAAATTGCTTAAAATTACAAAAAGTGTGAGTAATTTTCACCCTTCCCAGCCAAAGTCTGCTATCATCTTATTAATATTTAAATTAATATCAAGAACAGAATCCTTATCCCGCAGTTTTGGTTTCTTGGCCGAGCCAATGTGATGCAAATTTTCTTTTCGGAACGCTTTGCAAACAGATCAAAATTCAAAGAAAAAATTTTTTGAAAGATAGAGAAAGTAATCTGAAAAGTTCAAACCATGTACTAAGCCAACATAAAATTTGTTTTCTGAGTAATTTACTTAATAAGAACGAGAAGAAAACTTTACGGGAAAGCAAATAATAATAAATTTATTTTTAAAACGCTCTCGTTAGTGATGCCGCTTTCTTACCTAAAAAGTTCGTTTAATTTATACTTTAAGCGAATGAAGTTTACATAAAGTTAGATATGCTTGAATGTTTTACATTACGTTACTCTAACATCTGTTGGCTAGATGTCTCGTAAACTTATTCAAACGGATATGGTGTAATTGCTATTCTTTTGCCGAAAAAGTTCCTCAATTTTTTGGCACACAATTATAATTTTATTGTATTTTCCAAACATATGCTTTTATGCTCGACGCTTTAATTTAAAGCAACGAACTTACTGCGCTGCGTAAATCTGCTGCTTTAAGCGATAAGGCCCGTACGCTTACATAGCAGAAATTATCTGCCAACCAATCAAGAGTCAATAAGACAAATTCGAAATTTTCACTCAACACTTGTGTTAACAACAAAAAATGCTCTTTTTCTACTTCAGCGATTAATTTTCCGGCAGACCAGTAGCCAGTGTAATTCATCAGAGAAGGTGCGTCTAGATATTTTTTTGTATAGTAAACATTCTTTCCGTCGAAAGAGTTAATATATTTTGAATATACATCCTTTCTATAGATGATATGGTAACCCACTACAACCCTTCAAAAGCAAATTCTTACTTTTGACCCACAGGAACTTGGGATGGAATCCTCTAGTCCCTTTGCCAGCTTATTAATATAGATTGCACCTTTAAGCTTCGCCTTCACGGGGAGAGACACAGGCCATTCATTCTTAGCTAAGTTAATAATTGTCTGCTCTATCTTATCAGGAGAGATTTATGTTTTCAATGTGCCTAAACGTTTTTCTCGAAATTTTATTTCCATAACATTCATATCCGATTTCTAATTTGATTTCAATTCCTAACTTTGTTTATACTTCAATGATTTGCCCTCCGTGATTAAATTCAGCGAGATCTTAATGTATCCTGATGATGTGAAACTGTTTTCTGCCTTTTCCGTAAAATCGCAATCACATCATCTTCAAAGTGATTTGAATAATTTGGTTGTACGAGAATTAATTGTGTATTATCGGTTGCCAAGCTTATGCATGTTTGCGTTGGCTTAGGGGTTCACTTGCAATTTGGTCCTGTACCAGTTGTGGGTGTGGCTCTATGCTAGTTGTGTACATGCTTTTTTTCTTTTTTCCTTCTTATTTGTTTTATTGTACTTACACTAAGTTTTAATATTAATTAATTTAAGAGTCAATTGAAATCGACTGCCATCTTGTTTTAGTTGAATTTCTTGTATAATAAATAAATAAATAAATAAATTTTGAATAAATAAATAAATAAAAACACTTAGTCGGTGTAGTTAGAATTGTAAGGTTTTCAGTCCATTCAGGGTGCTCTGCAGAAATCTAAATTACATCTGCAATTTTATGTCAATATCGGATTCTTCAAATATTATCAAATCAACCATCCTTAATATGCGAGTCTTGCCTACGGCAAACCTAAAACGACTTCGGCCAATTCGTGAATTTTGTGATTTTTTCTTCTTTGTTTTAAAAAGAAGCTGGGTAGGTCTTCATCCCCGCCTACAGTCGAATTTCTTTACCTATTAATTCTTCACAATAATAACGCTTTGTAAAAATAGCGCCAGTAAAAGAACAAAGAGTTATAAATAAGAATTTTATGAGTACTAAAAATAAATGTGTAAGCTGCTAGAGCAGACGAATGTCATCAGCAGAGATTGTGAAAATATGAAAAAAATCTATAATTTGAAAACAGAGAAACTTGATGCGAAAGCATGTTGAGAAACGCGTTTCTGTCCTTCCCAATATAGACCAAATCCAATGTGCACATCGTGGAAAAAAGAATCATCAAAGCAAATAAAAAAAAAGTAAAAAAATTATATTCGGCAGCGACTGCAACGTTTATACTCATCACCGTTATTCTAAGGAAGGACATGGAGTTGCTTAAATCGGCTTAGAATTGGACACTGATCAAGAATGTAAACGTTTTAATAAAATGGATATGCTCTTCGTCTACCGGGGGTGAGTAGAAAAATTGTGATCGCCTTCTACAAAATCTTAAGCGCGCAAAACCGAAGGCACATATATATAACAAGTAAGACAAATATATATATTTTTAATCAAAACTTCAAGCTGCTGCACTTTACTTTAGAAGTAACGTAAAAGTCACATCAAAATATGATTTTAGGTATTTAGGGCGCAATTTCATACACACTATAACAACAGGACAAGGTTTTACATACATATATACATATATACATGTGTGTATAACATGCAAAACCATCATATAAAAGCTGGTGGTGGATACTAAAATCCATCACAAACTGAATATATATGCTATCCTCTTTGAATTCTTTTTATGCCAGTCAACGTCAACTGTTATGAACATTTCGAAGTCATCATATATTTTTTCTTTTATTGTGGATATAAATCAATTAAAATCCCAAATTAATTGGTCATAATTCCTAAACGAAATCATTCGAAAAAGTCATCAACACAAACCTGTCCAGCTATTTTATAGTGCACGTTTTTATTAAAAAAAAAAAAAAAAAAAAACACCTTCAGTGAATACACAAATATTTTGTTGAGGGGAACTTGAGATTGACAGGACTAACATTTTCTGGGATTTGCAGCTATAAATTAGTTAAATTGATCGCATATTGAGCACTGTGAAATCAATGCATCAATGAATGAATCAACGAACGTTATGTGTATGTAGTCCTCACATAAACACTTCAAATTAAAGCAAACTTACATACTCGTCTATAAGATTGACAATAATATCAGAGACTACTCAATAACAAGATGGTTCAACAGCAGATTATTAGGGACTTTTTCTGCTTCGGTTGTCAATAACAGTAAGACATGTGTAAGGTGACTTAAAATAACCTGCGTTAATTCAAACTGAATCATGTTGTATCGCCACAAATGTATTTAAATAAATGATTTCGTAGTTTTTTTCACTCGATATCGTAGGAGTGTCTTCTATACTAGAAGAGGCTGAAGGTAAGAAAAAGTGGGGAGAAGAGAGAGATTGCAAGTAGCCGTAGGGCGTTAAGGTGCATGCATGACCGCGGTTACTTGCCTGTCGAGAACGTTGTAACTACCTACGTTTACGCGCAAAAACACGTCGCAAACTCGCAGAAACACAAGAAAGCTGCTAATGCGGGACGAAAACTGTTTGTGGCATTTCCCTGCTCGGATAATAACTGACGATAGAAACTAAGGTAAAACTTCAGGCAGCTACAGTCGACGTTTGCAATTTTCGGAATCATTTACAAACATACTTTCAAACATATTTTCCATTTCAACTTTAGTTGACTTTCGCTACGAACTATTTTTTATAGTAGATATAATTAAGCTGTGAAAATTAGTTGCTTACATATATATATATATATTTGCGATTGACATTGTGCCTTACGTCAACTTACCTACGCCCGTACAATTGTTGCTGGAAATCTCTTGATCGCAAAATAACTGCGTTAGCTGCAACTCAGCAAATATGATTTAAAGTTGTAGGCGTCATTCGTTCATACTATTGCAAAACTGAAAAAATATTTAAAAGAAATTTTTTAACATTTTTTTTTTCTGCTTCGAGTGTTCATTCTTTTATTCAAATTTTTTTCTAATATTTAATACAAAAAAGTTAAATTTGCAGCTAACTCCTTAGCTTAACACATGAATCCGCTTTGTACTAAAAAGTGCCGATTACTAAAGAGAATGGTAAAAAAAACATTTTATTGAAAGCGGTCATGGTCATGGCCCTGCTTTTGGAGCCATGAATAAAAGCCGCTAATTACAAAAGGAATGTCTTATGAACAAAAATGGAGGCGGATACAGCTAACGTTTCCTCGATTGGTTGTCCAATAAGTTGTCGGAAAGTGATGGAAAGCTCTACAACCGTCTTTCGTATATTGCGTGCGGTTAACGCTCACTCTCCGCGGAGTGGCCTTTCTTATTAGACGAGCCCATTAACGGAGTTTTTATATGCATTAAGAAAGGGAAAATATGTAAACTAACCTCATCAGCCAAGACCTAATATGCTCCAAATGTGTACACACATAAGAATGAAAGCTTGTTGCTTATGACTTCTGAGCTAAGTTTTGTCTTCACCAAACTTTAATAATATATTTTTTTATTTTAGCACATTTTATTATAAAGTGTTTTGTTTTTTGTCCTTTTTTTCTTCTAAATCCACAAAAACAATCTTTCTCAGTTAAAATTTTTTTTGTCTTTCTCCTTTTTTTGCAGCTTTTTGACTCAATTCCAAAACTCGAATAAATTCAAAATTAAAATTTTTTGAAGTAAAGAAAATTCTCGCCTACTTTTTTCTATACGATAACATGTTTACAATATATTTTAAAGACGTGTCATTAACTCGTTAGATCGCAGTAGCCCAACATACGCCCGTTTTGTTGGTCTCAACCAGTACTGAGCATTATGTTTTCTTCCAAAAACTTCAATTCCAAGTCTTTCATTCACATGCGGTCTTAGTGAAAAAATGTCAGTAAAACCTTAAGTATCTGAAATTGATGGGGATATATGTATTTTTCGGCGATGTAATATGTTTACACGTATTTTGATCACTTTTCCCTTGAAAAAGAGATTTATTGTGGAAAATTGGTTCGATAATCAAAATATTTTCCATCATTTTCTACAGCATTTTGCAATATTTTTGGCAACATGGCGATATCATGTCGAAAGAAGACAGCGAACCAACCATCTATCCATTTTAGCACTTCGATCGCAAAAACGAATCGCTTGAGTAGAAAGAGTCTAGCTGTGTGGGTAGGGTAGCCAAAGCTTGGTGAAACGGTTAATACTAAACAACACAAGCGACAAAAACTGTTCGCTGTTCAAAAAACGACCACAATATAACGAAAAGCAACATAAGGTATTATTTTATATGATATTTGCCCCTTCGAAGTTCGACTTGTTTACATAGATATGTCACGCACTTGCTCTATCAACGTTTTGCTGCAAAAGGGTACGATTTTTAAAGACATGATATCCAAAATTTTCCCAAAAGATAGGAGAAATGTGTAACTAGTGACAGAGCATACTTGCCCCCCCCCCCCGAAAAGAAATGGGGTGGGTGGTTATACAACGGCAGACGATTATTGCCAACAAATTTATAGAAGAGATTATGATACATTATTCTTCTCGATGTGTGGCGCTGCATAACCATATGCATATGCTTCATAAAGGGCAGCTTATATACAATCCATCGATTTCCCCGTAATAGATCAAATCGTATTTGTTTTTATACACAATAAAAGCGAAAGACTTGCATGAAGGAATTCAGTCCATAATCCTTAAATTTTTTTTTTTTTGCAAGTTCCATTCTATTTCGAAGAAATCATTTATTCACTTGAAGCCTTAATCGTTGAATTTATTTCTATTTAGCATAATTTATGGTCTGTAAAATCGTAAATATTCTCGCTAAAGTCTATTTATTGCTTATGTTAAACACATTTCCCGCTATGCAGAACAAATTTATTATTTGTTTTTTGAAAACATAATAAAATTATAGAAATACGTTATTGTGCTACGAAAACGAAAAAAAAAAGATGTAAAAAATGCTGTAAACTGAATCAGTGTAGGAGCATCTGGAGCTAATTGCTACTGTATGGTTTTAACGAAAACAAAAAAAAAGAACCGATCGTTGCTATATAAGAGTTTTGCATTCAGGAAAAAAAGAAATAATTTCGTTTGAAAACGTTTCGTATTCAAACTGTCTTAAAGGAAAAGACTAGAGTCTAAAATAACGCACTTCATGCCTCATAAAATACAAAGAAAAATGTAAAACTATACTAAGTGCGATCTTATCTTTGGAATAAATGAACTTCCGTTATGGGTTATTCAAACATTTCGCAGCTAGACGTGTTTGCCTTGAAAAGAGTCATTGAAAACCTCCAGCCAAAGCGTAAAACTTACTGTGGTTACTTTGTTGACGATGGTTGTGCCAATTGATTGACCAGATCTTTTTTAACATTGAAATTGTCAATAACTTGTGGGTATAAATTATTCATTTTACAAGAAATATTTGCAAACTGTGGAGGTTAGGAAAAAAGACCTTTGTCTTTAAATTTATTTGTATTTTTCTACATAGTCAAGTTGTAAATCTACGTGATAATCCCATCCTTGCTTGCAGGACAGCTGTCAACGAAAGTGATGAGTTCGGGACTTCACGAAAATCTACGTTTTACTGGGGTCTGTCGCTTGTGGACAGACCTGGCGAGTAACCAGAGTTGTTAAACAGCTGTGAGCGCAGTTCGCAAGCTCTTGCCATGGAAACTGCTGATGTGGACGTTGCAATTCTTTTCGCAAAATCTATATCCAGCTTTTTTCTTCCTAACCAATGACTAAGAGGATGCCTTCTTTATTTGTAGCACGGTGATAGCTACAGCGAATTGGGAAGGACGGAGAGGTATGGAGCGACCGCAGTCTAATGTTGACACCGATCGATTTGTTATATTTTTACCGATCGAGCATTCACTATAGCGACGGTTCAATCTTAATTAAAGTAGGATCCAGGTATGCCGACTACCATCAAGACGCGCTTCTTAGCTATGATATGTAATACGCTGCTGTAGTGGTAATCTAATTTATATTGCAATAATGCATTGTAATGCTTTTTCCGCTTTCCAAGCCAAAGAAACAACCTTCATTGTGTTTTAAACCGATTCTCCTTTCCTAGTTCATTCTTTCTAGAACGAGTTGATGCATCTAAGTTTCGCCTAATGCATAGCTCACAGAATATATGTGCAAACTCTTCTAAGTTTTTCTATTGTAGTTTGTGAGTGATGAGTAAGAAAGCAATTTGTTTTCCATTCGAAAATAGAATACTGTTCCAACATCACCAACCTGGGTGCCAAATTTGAAACCGACAGCTTCACTTTCACGGCCACGAGAATCTTTACAACAGACATTACACAGGCGGACAGAGGGAAATGCTCAACAATATATACACAATGTAAGGTCTACGAAGCTGTCTTCCGGATGTCGCAGACGCTTTGTCATAATAATGTAACCTCATTCTCTGGTGTTAAGTATCAAAATGAAAATTATATCAAATTAAAAATCCTTTCTTTCCAATATATATGTGTAAGTATAAAAACATGCATATGTATTTTAATCTGTCAAAATTTTATATTTTTCATAGTATGCATTGTCCCAAAGCAAAGAACAATAATTTGTAAAAGTCTAACATTTCTTTGTCTCCTATTACTAACGTACGCCTGATCCAAATGTAAATATGTCGAGTTGTGTGTGTGCTTTTTGTATTTCTTTACTGCTCTTTTATTTTTTATTTATTCGTTCTTTGTATGGCAAAGAAAAGTGAAGTTAGTACCACTTTTAGGGCAATCATTTATCATAATAAAAACATTGCGACAGTTTTATACTCACAAGATGAAGGCATACTATATTTGTGGCATGGTTTGCTATATCTAGAAATACTAGTCGAAGTTTCTATTAAGTAAGCTCGATTTTGATTTGATTACCGCCCACCGCTCGTTCTCTCTTTACGACTTTCTCTTGTTACAACTTTTATTGCTGTCATAATGGAAGGGAGAAGCCGTATGTGTTACTATGTTATAGAAATGACGGGAAATCGTATTTCGAAAAGCAATGTAAACGTTTTGTTACGGTGCTGCAACTATCCGATCTGGCAGAAGCTATGTCCTTCGATTTCTTAATTTGCGCTATTAGACTGTCTTTTGTAATTATTGGCCAGTTTTCGAAACGAATAACTTTGTTAAATAGAGAACTCCCCCTGAACTCTACTTCAGATATGAAATGGCTTTTGCGGTTATTTTTAGATGTGTTAACAAAGAGGTGCAACGAAAGAAAAGAAGTGGCTGAAGGAGACCGACGAATGAACGGGAAGACCGTGCGCAACGTAAGAAAAAGCCGTTTAGAGATCTTATAGATGAATGCGTCTGCCCATAGCCAACGGCTGAGAAAACCGATAAAATTGCTTGTTTATAATTTCAGAAGCGATAGAAAACAATATTCTTATGTATTTGACTTGGCTTTGTTAAGTATACTTTTAATACAATTTGTATTAGACCATGAAGTTGCTTTTGATATATGTATATATATTAGTATTCAATTGCTAAAACAAAAAGTATTAATATTGTTACGAAAATCCCAAATTCAGTTAAATGTCAGCTAAGTAATTTTCGTAAGAATAAATTCCCTAAAGAAGGGAAAACCAAATGAGCATTCGCAGGCGCCTCATGCAGCTGCAGGCCAATGAAAACGATTAGTGGAAAAGCAAACAGGTAAAAGCTAAGCGCATATAATTGAAGTGCGGGATGTTTTTTGCAACAGAGTGTCTGATTAGCCAACAATCGACTTTATTTTTTGCGCTGATTAAAAATAATTGTTGTGTATTCGAAATCATTTAGAGACGCCAGCGCGTAAACATTATGATAAATAAAAAACCATAGACAACAACAGCAACGCAATAGATTCTTCTAAAATGTTCGAAAATACGAAAAAAAAAAAAAATTCGCAAGCATGACACGCAGCCCCTTTTTAAGTCACAAAAATTAGTGCCATCTTTTTCGTACGGGGAAATGTCACTTGCGTCAAACAATAGAAATTAAGAATTTTTTTTTTTTTTGTTTGTATTTGATATGGATTGGACCTTTTAACCTAAATTTAGATCCATAATCCAGTAACTGTATAGAAATTCATTGCTGATATTCATAATTTCACGTGATGATGAAATAATGATGCTTTTTTACTAAATTTTTTAATTTTTTTGCTTTCTAGGTTATGTTTAACTCATTGGTGATGA